TCAGAATGGCTGAAAAGCAAAAGAATCAGAAAACAGACAGGACAGGTTTGACTGCACAAAATTAGAAAATTTATTTTTGTTAAAAAAGTTTAACAGGGCTTCCCTGGTGGCGCAGTGGTTAAAAATCTGCCTGCCAATGCAGGGGACACGGGTTCGAGCCCTGGTCTGGGGGGATCCCACATGCCACGGAGCAACTAGGCCCGTGAGCAACAACTACTGAGCCTGCGCGTCTGGAGCTTGCGCTCCGCAACAAGAGAGGCCACAACAGTGAGAAGCCCGCGCACCGCGATGAAGAGTGGCCCCTGTTCGCCACAACTAGAGAAAGCCCACGCACAGAAACGAAGACCCAACACAGCCAAAAATAAATAAATAAATTAAAAAAAAAAAAGTTTAACATCAGATAATATACTGGAGGAAAGGAAGTACAACAAATAGGTTAAATGATGTTCCTTCTCTATGAAGAATATTAAAAAATGTGTAACATCAAGACCCACAATAGATAAACAGGCAAAGGACACAAATAATTCCCACAAGATTTACTAAGAAATAAAATTTTTGCTTATATAATCAAAGAAGCTGGCAAGGGTTCCGTGAAACAGTCACCAATATACTGGTGAGTATACACAAAAGTACTCAACCTTGGGACGTTGATAACTTATATTACAAGCCCTAGAAATCTTATTAGCCTTTCATTCAGAGATTCTAAAAATTTACCTTAAGTAAATTATGCAAAAGAAGGAAAAAATATGTACAGAAATATGTTCACTTTAATATTTTTTTCTGATAGCAAAAAATACATGCATGCATTTAAATGTCAACAAGAGCTTAATTTCACTACGGTAAATCTAGTCAATGGAAAATTTTTGTCTGCCTATGTTATGTTTATACTGACTACATTAAATAAGAAACCCACAAACTACAGAATTATACATTCAGAATGATTTCAAATATGATTTTAAAAACCCACACAGAGGGAAAAAATCCTAGAAAAAGTTTCCAAATACCAAACGTTGGTTGCATTCTAACAGTTAGATGGGGGGTGATTTTTAAATCTTTTATCTTTATCTCACTGTTTTGTGTGTGTGCGTATTTTTCTAATGATAAAATGAAAACAATTGAAAAATTGTTTAATGCATTAAATGCTGGGGAAAAAGAAGAAAAATAAGAACAGCTTTTGACTTTCCCTTAAAAGAAGCAACATCTGGGTGTGTGCTTGAGGCAAGGTGGGAGTGGAAGGGAGGTTTACACAGAATTTAAAGGAATGCATTGAACTAACAGATGCTCAGTTGATGAGGCATAAATCTTGCCAGGTCAAAGATTTCAACATGGAGTGTCAGAGGGACTTGGGAACAAAGTCTGAAGTGACAGAGAATTGGACAAGTGAGGAAGCTGGTGCCACCTAAGCGACCGGAGAACAGGCACAAGAGCCCGATACCCGACAAAAAGCAAAGCTTCCTCAGTCCGCAGGTCAGCCATCACGTCGTGAAAACTGTGCATAAGGAGGAAAGAAGAATATGAAAGAGGCTCAAAATGCCAGATGAACATTGAGTGCCAGAGAGTGGGTGAAGGGGAGGGAAGACGTTTAAACACAAAGTTCAGAGAGCTATTAGTAGAAACAAATGTAGACATTAAAATTTAACTATTTTCTAACGTGGGTATTTAGGTTAAATTGTCTTGTCTATTTTAAAGGGACAAAGGAAGAGAAAATTCACAGTAGACACTGAAAGTGAAAAAAAACTGCAATGTCTCAATATAGAAAGCAGACGGGCAACCCCATGGAGGTTTAGACAAATGTAACAATTATAATAAAAATTATAATACTCCCTAACAATTATATTAACTATAATACTTCTTATCAAAGGGGGAAGCCGATAAAATATTAAAACTCAATCATCTTGTGCCAATAAGAAACACACAAAAAACCAAAAAGGCATAGATAGAGTAAAATGATAAGATAATCTATGGATTATCAGGCACACAGAACGCTAGGAAAGAAGGAAATATGACAAAGTAATTCTTTTTAGTAAAAAGAACTGAGAGAGTAACACAGAAACCCCACAAGGTAAATGTTATAATAAACAATTAATACGTAAAATTTATGTTCCAATGAGCGTAGCCAAGAAATCCATGATGGGAACAAGCAGAAATGCAAAACAAAGTAGAAATAGAAATATAATTGTACGTAGAGACCTTAATGCTCCCCTCTTAGAATATCACAGATCAAGTAGGCAGAGCTGTTTAGAGCCCAATGAATAAGGCAGAACTAGCAGATTAGTGAGAACTACGTCATAAATCAACGGAATACACTCTCTTGGGGAGAGGACAAGTGTCTTTCAACAAACTCATCCCATTCCTGAGCCCAGCCAAGGACTCCAAGGCAATGGCAATTCCACTCTTCTGTTCTCAGATCCATTTGCTGCAGCACCGCGATAGTAATAATATATAATAAGCATTTTTATGCATTCTCTTAAGCAGTCTCTTAGGTAATGTGTCAAAGATAAAATCAGAAGTACATTACTGAAATATTGGAAAGGAACAAATATTTATATATAAAACACAGATGCAGTCGCCGCTGAAAGGAAAATAATTCCTAAGTAGTCTCGTAAACAGGAAGACAGTGAGAAACGAGGTGAACCCCGGCTACACTCGGAAAATCTAGAAGAGGAGCGTGGCGGACCTGTGACAAGTGGCCCTTGCGCTGCTCTGACCACCCAGGCACCAGAGGCTGTATGTCTGCAGGGGCTGCATGCAGAGGGACTGGGAATGTAAAGGAAGGACTAGGGTTGTTCATAATCTATAAAAGAATAGACATATCAGCGTCTCCAAGGCTCAAGACAAGCTCCACTGTGTGACTCCACAGGGCCACAAAAGAAACGGTTTCCAGGTGCTGTAAAAAGCAGATCTATCTTGCTACCAGAAGTCGGAGAGCAGACCAAACGGCCATGTAATGAGCTCTCTGTCCCCAGAGGTATGCAAGCAAAGGCAGAATATCTGTTTATTCAGAATGTTGTCAAGAAAATTCATGTATATGAGAGGTTTTCTTTTTAAACCCTGAAATAGAATATTCTGTCAATATATTGTTTTCTAATGTTTAGTGAAGAGGAGAGAAAACATCTCGTACAGGATAAAAGACTGGGCTGGGAGTCCAGAGGCCCCTGTTCTGCTCCTGCCTCTCTCTGGCTGTGGGGCCTCTGTCTGGGTTCTCTCATCCAAACAGCACTGCCCAGCCCTGGGGTCCTGGAGCCCGTGGCCTCACCAAGGGGCTCTCTTACTGCCAACTCGGCCCCGTTCTGGGCTGTGATTCCTGCAGCTGTCAGGGCCCAGTCTGCCTACATCTTCAAGGACCCAGCATCCCACTTGGGGCAGCCCTGATCCCGTGTGTGTACAGCGGGGGCATCTAAATGCAGCTGTGGCTCAGACCAAGCCAGGCTTCCTTCCTGGAAAGTCCTGGATTTTCCAGAAAACACCAGCAATGGGAAAAATGCAACTTTAGGTGGTTTGCAGGCTAAGACGACGCTTCTCTCTCTCTTTTTTTTTTTTTTTTTTGCGGTATTCGGGCCTCTCACTCTTGTGGCCTCTCCCTTTGCAGAGCACAGGCTCCGGACACGCAGGCTCGGCGGCCATGGCTCACGGGCCCAGCTGCTCTGCGGCATGTGGGATCTTCCCGGACCGGGGCATGAACCCACATCTCCTGCATCGGCAGGCGGACTCCCAACCACTGCGCCACCAGGGAAGCCCGGAAGATGCTTCTCTTGTGCTGCCGAATCCCTCATCCTCAGGGAGCACTCTGGTGGGAGCCAACTCAGAGATGGGAGTCCCAGCCTGGGGCTGAGCAGAGCTGGTACAGCCTGAGGGACGTCGTTTGAAGAGGAACATTCCGCAGGACCAAGTTCCTTGCCTGAAACCCCAGTCTCCTCTGGGGGCGCAGTGGTGAATGCCACAGTTAGAATATGAATGTTTACTTGGATGCAGTTATCTGTTACCAGTACTGCAGTGTTAGCTGGGCTTCTGGGGCACGATTAAGAAAGAACAGGACACGGGGGGATGGGGCACATAGACAGAATCTCCGGGAGTCCAGAATTTTGCTGTAGCTGTACTCTGAGCTTGGTGGGGGTGAAATGAGACTGGGGGAGTGCAGGGGCCAGCTCAGGGGCTTGAGATATGGCCCCTCTGTGCTAAGTGCTCTAAGGAGAGAACTTGATACATTCCTGGGATGCTGTTATAATTATGCCCACTTTACAGATGAAGACAGTGGGGCTCACAGAAGTTAAAGAGTCTACCCAAGATCAAACAGGTAGTGAGGGGCCTCCCTGGAGCTCACATTCTGCGTCTCTCCATCTTTCCCTCACCCCATCCCCACCGGCATCATGAGCAAGAGGAGCCGGTATATTCGGGACTCCCAGCACCCCCTTCCTCACCCCTTCCAGTGCCTGGCACCACCCAACAGAGTCTGATACACTCAGACTCCCCTCCCCTCCTAAAAACCCCATCCCTTCCTCCAGTCCACTTCCCTGATCCGCCGTATCACCTGATATGATGTCCCTGCTGTGGCCGGGTGGAGCTGTTAACGGCATCTATGTGCCATTGGGGTGAGTGTCCTGTCATCCGCAAGCAACTCCGGGAAGGTGATATAACAGTCCGTCAAAAAGGGCTTATTAGGGCTTCCCTGGTGGCGCAGTGGTTGAGAATCCGCCTGCCGATGCAGGGGACGCGGGTTCGTGCCCTGGTCTGGGAGGATCCCACATGCCGCGGAGCGGCTCGGCCCGTGAGCCACGGCCGCTGATCCCGTGCGTCCGGAGCCTGTGCTCCGCAACGGGAGAGGCCCGCGTACCGCAAAAAAAAAAAAAAAAAAAGGACTTATTAAATGAAAGAGGGACTGAATTAACGACCTGGTCTGGGGCAGCTCCAGGGTGACAGGCGTTCCCCGTGGAGCTGAGACAGCCAGCCAGACCTGAGAGCACCAAGCCTTCCACGGAGCCCTGAGCTGCACTGTGCACATCTCTGCCCCAGCTCCACCACCCCGAGAGCGCAAAGCCCAGCCCAGGCCAGTCCTGCAGACATTTCCTGACTTCCCATTCTCCACCTCCACTCTTAAGAAAGATCTGGACTCCTCAGGGTTCTCCATGCTGCTGTATCTTCCCTCCCAGCCTCTCCGAGGGTTCGAGGATAATCTAGTTATAAGACATAACGGTATCCAAAGCTTGCTGGGTGCTAACTGGGGTGGGGAGGGGGAACAAGCACTTCCATCACTTACTGCTCTCCAGAGCCCCATGAGGAAGAAACTATTAATGCTCCCATTCCCCAGAGAGGTACACTGAGGCCAGGGAAGTTACACAGCTGGCGAGTGGCTGGCCTGGACTCCCAAGCATGGCTCTAGCCTGCCACGAGCACCCCACTCAGGGGCTGCAGGGTGATTCCTGGACTTTGTAATCTTGGGCTCGTTGTGCTTTCCTGGCCAGATTCCAGGGCAGCAGGCAGCCAGGGCAGTGGAGGGTGGTGGCACGCAAGCCGAGCTCCCAAGGGGAAGGCTCCTGCACTGCCTACAGCGAGGTTTCCCCACTCAGGCAAGATGCTGCCACCCTGAGTCAAATCAGGAGGAAGTTGAGGGTTCGTAGAAAATGTCACCTGCAGTCAGGGACAAACCAGCCCTCCGCTGCCACTGCCGCTGTCACGGAGGCTGCCCGGGGCTGCCACTACCCCTGCCGTCTGGGAAGGCCCGCCGAATCGGGGCAGGTGTGGACAGAGCCCAGGACCCGAGGACCCGGTTGACCTCAGGAAAGTCGCCCGCAGTCCCAGAGAGCAAGGTCAGTGTTTGGTTCTGTGTGTCGGGTTTTCGGAGCGGCCCAGGGGCTATTACCTGTAGGGGGTCCAGTGCAGCCGATGGAGTTGTGAGATGTCATTTCTCCTCCCAGCTTGGTCACCAGCCTGCTCTGGCGAGAGTCACTTCCCTCTCTGGGTCTCAGCTTCCTCACCTGTGAAATGCGGGGGTGGGACCACATTCTCTTCAAGCAGCTCCGCAGCAGCCTTGTCTGGCCAAGGCGCTCCTTCTCTCGGGTCAGGAGAGGGGCTCCTTCTCTCGGGTCAGGAGAGGGGCTCCTTCTCTCGGGTCAGGAGAGGGGCTCCTTCTCTCGGGTCAGGAGAGGGGCTCCGTGGGTCTCCCTCCTCTCTAAGTGCAGCTAGAATGCGGCCTGGGGTGGCGGACATGTTGCCAGGAAGAGGCTCTAAGTTCTTGTGTCCTCTCAGAGGGTCTGCGCACTCACTCAGCTTCCCCCAAAAAATGTCAAGAGGCACCGCCTGAGCCGAGGTGTGAGAAGCCTCTGGAAGAGGAGGGACCATCTCACGCAGCAGACATTCTGAGCTTGGCATCACACAGGGACAGCCAGCATCTGAAAAGGGCTGTCACGGCTTCCAGCGCTTCTGGGGTTTAGGATTCAGAAGTACTGCCCACAGAAAAGAAGGTGGTGCTGGACACCTTCATATTTCAGGACTTGTGGGTTGGGAAGGTCCAGCCTAGGAGACCTCAGCCCCTGCCTGCGTGTCCTCAGGGACGGTCAGCAGGGCATGCCCGCGATGTTGCTCCTTGGTCCTAGCTTCTCTGCGCCTGGCCTCCACAGGGACTTGGGTCAGCCTTGGGCTGCATCCCTCCCAAGGGCCCTGTGAGCAGAGATTTCCCCGGGGCGGCCCATCTCCAGGGCAGGAAGAGCCAAGCGTCACCCATGGGCCCCAGGAGGCTGTCAGCAAGGAACCCGTGCAGGTTCCAGACATTCAGAAAAGTCTGGGCTGAAACGCAGCCTGGCAGATTCCGCTTCCTGCCCAGGAGGGACTAGGAGATCCCACGAAAGACTGAGGCACGGGCTGTTTCTACAGGCCTGGCAGGCCGGGGCTTTCAGGCATCTACAGGAATAGAAACTCTCCAAAGTGGGTCGGGGTGATTCCCAGCAGACTCTGTCTCTGTATAAACAGTAGCTTGTGTGTGACTGTGGGCGAGTCACCTGGCCCTCCAGAGCACGGGCTCCTCGTCATTCGGTGAAGACCTTGACAGAACACTTTAAGTTCTCACTGTCTCCGATCCAGTCACACTCGTGCTTGTGCTATGGGTAGAACCAAGTTCACTCACTGCCCTGGGCCATGGAACACAAGCCGGCCTGGGCTCAAGGCGGGGCAGCGGGCAGTCCTTCCCCAAGCGAGGCCACCCCAGGCCCCTGGCCCAATCTAAGCCGAGGTGAGGCGGCCAGGCCAGGGCACCCTGGGTGAAGCTGCAGGAGGCCAGGAGTCCGTGGGGAAAGCAGCAGGGAGGAGATGGGCAGGTGTCCAGGGCCTGCGGCGTGGGAGCTCCGGGAAGGGGTCAGCCTCGAGGGGCCCACAGAGAAGGACTCACAGCTCAGGCCCTCCTCAAAGGGAGCCTTACCCACCTCCTGTTCTGGCTATCTTTTTTGTTGTTGTTAATGAATATTTCTGTGTTTTATTACTGTTGCTTTTTATTTTAAATTTGGAACGCAAACACGTGATTCAAATACACATGTAAACATACAGTAAAACGTCTGTGCCCAGCACCCACCTACCCTCAGGGTGCCGCTGATTGCAGCTTCTATCACAGTTTCTATACAAGCATGTACACATATGTGGGTCCTAATTTTCTCCCTTTTAATGCAAAGACAAGTCATCTTCCACCTCCCTTTCTTGAAGACCTTTGCTAACGACCCTCATCAAGGGAGTGGGCCCCTGGCAGGGGAACGACCCTCATCAAGGGAGTGGACCCCTGGCAGGGGAATGACCCTCATCAAGAGAGTGGACCCCTGGCAGGGGAACGTGTGGTTCAGGGAGGCTCAGAGTGCGCTGGCTCGTTAGGGGCGGACCAGGCAAGGACTTACCCAGGGCTGACCCATGGCTCCGGCTTCTCCATCCAGCTCCATCCAGAGTTGCCCACCGCTGTGGGAGAGGGAGGCGGGGGCGGGGGTGTGTGTGGTGTGTGCATTGCAGGCTGTAAGTGCTGGGTCACAGTCACATAGGATGCCTCCCAACCCTGCCCAGAGGAGCTACTCAGGGAACAGGGGGAGGGACAAGGTGGGGAAGGAGGATTCTAGAGGCACAGAGAACAGCCAAGGGCAGTCACGAGGATGGAGGAGCGTGGCGTTTGGGGGGATCCGGGGGTTTCTCTGTAGGGTCGAAGGGCTGGCCAGACAGCAGCAGGGGCAGGGGTGCTCAGGGGCCCCAGGGAACGTATGCACTGGATCAGAATGTCATACAGGAAGCTATCCAATAAAACAGAATGCTCTGACATAGTCCAGAGCTTTTCTTCTCACACCCAGCCAAATCAGGACCAGCTACCATGGGCTGGGGCAGTTCAAGAATTGGACACAGGACAGACCCACTCGGGGGGCAGGGTCAGTGTGGAGTGAGGGCAACAGCAGTAAGAGGAAGGAATCAGGAAGGCAAGGGGGTGTCGGGTGGTTTGAGGGAAGGGTCGTTGTCATCAGAGGCAGCCTGATTCCGGCGAGAGCCTCAGGCGGGCCGGGCTCAGTAACCGCTTCCCATGCAGCTGCTTTGTAAATTTGGCTCGTTGCCTAACTTCTGTAAATTGGGGGTCAGACATTCATTCAATCAACAAACTCCTTACCAGGCAGTGGTGGTCAAGACAGACAGCAGGACCTGCCTCAGAACACTGCTTTTAGGAGTCGGCATGACCGCAGGGCTCAGAGCCCCAGCAAGTGTCTGGTACTTCACGATGCTGAGACCCCTCGGCCCCCATTGACGTTATGTCTGCCTCAAGGGTCTCTTAGGAGAAAAGGAAAGCAGCAACGTGGAGAATGAAACCTTCCTGATAGAAGGGGATGGGGTCCCAGACATGAGGCAGCCTGGACAGAGAGGGGAGGGCAGGAGAAACTGAGGACGGAAAGGCAGGGAGGCACCCTCAGCGCCACACCTCCAGGCTCTGCCACAGATCTGTCCCTAAGCTCAACCTATGCATTTAGCCTGCCTAACTCAGTCCACTGGAGCACAAATGAGGCCCTTTCCGGGGGGTCTGAACCAAGTCCCTGAGGACCACCCCACCAGGCCCCCTAGTTGTTGGCAAATCAGCTGAACCCTAGTAGCACCCACAGAGACGGACAGCATCCAGCCTCCCTGAAAGTGGGCACGTGGGTAGCTGACAGCATCAAGGTCTAGACGCTTCCTAGCAAGTAGAACCTACTAGGGCATAGCAGCCCTTTAGGATTCACCCATTCCCCTCCCACACGCCCCTTCCAGCTCTCGCTAGAAATGTAGTGCAAGGTTAAGGCAGAAAGTTCTGGGTGCTCAGATACCTGGGTGTGGGCTTTCCCTTCGGTTCCTGTCATGACTCTGGTCATTTCTTCAGAGCTCCCTGCCCCCCACAATTGTCCTCCCTGTTGCTGCTTTTGGCCCTAATGCGATCTGGAGTCCCCCGAGGGTGCAGGACTCAGACAAGGTGGGCTCCAAGGCAGACGCCGAAATTCCGCAGCATCAGAGGGGCCCTTCACCATGAAGGGTGTAAAGACCACAGGGCTCTAGAAAAGATGGGCATCCAAAGCTTCCCCTCCACAAGGGAGGAAGGGTTCTGCGATTTATGTGTAAGCAGGGCCAGCACTTCGAGGAAGCATCTGAATGTAGATGCCTCCAAGTTACCACCCCTGGCTTTCTTGTCCAGGTTCTCCAAGGCCCCTCGGGGGTCTGGCCCTCAACGGGGAGAGTGACCTGGGCTGAGCCATGGAGGGAGCTTCCTGGCCTTTCCGCCTCCAGCTTGGCATCCAGGGCCCCAGTCCCCCTCCTGCCTGGGCCCTGGGGGCTTCTCTCCTCTGGCCTCCGGGGCTCCATGACACCTGCCGGAGGTCACAGCTCCCAGTTACACTGTATGTTTCCCGGGGACATGATGGAGTGGGGGAAGGGTGGACCCTTCTGGAATATTCTACTCTTCATATTTCCTGTTGCATAAAGTGCACTCTGTCCTTAGCCCACGTGTGCAATGGGAGTGTAATAATCTCTTTCACGCTTTAGTTACTATATCTGTCCTACTTATTTTTTGTGTTTTCTCCTCACGACATTCCTTCCCAACCCTCTCCCACTGACACACATTTTTATCTTTGCTGCCAGAAAATTGTCAATTGGGGTATAATGGTGTGTCCTTTTGTTCCCATGGATTGTCTTGCAGTGATTAATACCGGGTACATCTTCACCCCTCTACAGCTGGAGTTAGCATGGTGTTCATTTCCTTCCTGGAAATCTTTGAATTCATTTTGATTAAAAAAATTTTTAATCCTGAGTTGGAGGATTAAAAAAGCTTCTCCAATACCGAGGGCCTGACAGGTCCCTGTAAGAGTGAAGCTGACCCTCCTATTTTCATACAGAAACGCTTTGTCCCCAGAGCCTGTTGCCCGCAGCTGTGGTGCCTCCACATCTGCTCTTTATTGTCATCAAATATCTTCCCAGTCACTCCCCGCTCGTAGCTCAGTCTCCATCCCTGGACACCCCCCCACCCCAGGAGACCTCAGCAATGCCAGGACAGCATCGTCCGCCATTTACACAGGCAGTCCTGAGGATCAGTCCGTGGGCTACGCCCTTATAAATAAAATCAGTCCATTCTCCAAACAAACCGTGAGGCGTATACTATTATTAGCCTCATTTACAGACGAGGAGACTGAGGTGCAGCAAGGTCGAGTCATGGCCCCACATGTGCGCCAGGAGCACAGCTGGACCTGGTCATCAAGCCGCGAGTCCAGGTTTGTACCTGCTGGGACTGGCGCTCAGTGCACACCTGCACCACCTCACGGCATCCTCGCAAAGCCCCACGAGGCAGGGCCCATGAGCACCTCCAATTCATGGGTGTGGCAACAGAGACACGAGAGGTTAAACAGCGCACCCAAGATGACCCAGTTATTAAGAAGCTGAGATGCAGTGCAAACCACACCTGCCTGGCTCCAGAGGCTCCAAGGTAACTGCTACCCTCACCGCCTTTTAATTTGCACGTGCTGCTCTCACAATGCAACCTCCTCCTCTTCGCGCCTCCCGCCCCTGGGCACCCCCAACCCCACAGCCCCTGAAAGCTCCCCTCTCCCTCGAGCCCTCCCTCCACCCGCTGCACCCCCTGCCTCTCCACTGCCCAGTTCATCCCCAGCCCGGGTCAGTCCCCACGCCTGCTGCACTCCACCCCCAGGCCACTGAGCCAGCGGAAAACGCTCCAAGAGGCAAAGGGAGCCACTCAAAACGGTGGTCTTGGAGCACCAGCACCCCTTCCTGGTGCGAGATCAGACCCACCCCAGCCTCTCCCGTATCTCCTTCTGCCCTCCCCAGGATCCCCACCATCCACGGATGCCTTTGCCTCCAACGTCAGAGAGAAAACCTGGCTCATCGAGCATGAACCTCGGACCCCTTGTCCTCACAACAGCACGGTCTGCACCCAACCAACTTCCGCAAGGTGTTTCTGCTGCTTAGAGAAACTCACCTCCCAACTCTAGCCCACCTCACCTGTCTCCGCGGGGAACCTGCCCCATCAAGTTGTCACCGCTGTTTATGAGGGGTGTCCGTAGGGCATAGAAAAATGTTAGGGGATGTTACAAGAACAAAACTTCATTCCCTGCTTATTGGTTTTGAAGGTAGACACTTACAAATTGGATGGATACCTGTTCTATAATCTAAGGTGACCAGAAACCTTAATTTATGTATGATATGATCTTTACAGAGATTTCTGTAAAGGAACATTAACTTCTGTTACATAACACATATAGTGTTATATGAAGGGAAAGCTATTACGGAAGGAAAAGTTTTCAGTGTTCATTAAAATAATTGGATCTACACCTCTTCTAAATGAAAAGAACATGGGTATGAATATTTATAAGATGAAAGCACAGAAGCTTCGGATTAAACAACATTCTCAAAGTTCTGAACTCGAGACAGTGTTAATCACCAGGACAGTCTCCACGTGGGGCCGAAAGTCTCCAGGTCCACGTCTTCCAGCCCGGATGCATCTGCAGCCTGGATCCTTGCTCAGGCCCACCCTCCATCCTGGTCCAGGACTCCTCATCCCATTCCCTGATCCCATCACTTCCCAGCCTCCTGCAAAAGAAAAGCACACTTTGTTCGAGTCCAAACACTGCCTCTGATGGTCTCCTTCCAGGCCTCTGTTTCCTCATCTCTACTATGGGCACAGCTGTGCTGCAAGCACGGCCTCCGGTCATCTTACTCTCTCTCTCTAGAATTATCTGATCCTAAGGTCTGGGGAAACAGAGGCAGACAGAAGTCCAGGGTCAGACTCTCACCTTGTTCATTGGAAACAATGAAGAAAAAGCAGCCCTAATGTTATTCTGCTGTCCCCAGCCCGTCGCCTTCCACTCCGCCTTCCCTTGCCTCTTCCCCCTTACCTGCTCCCCTCTACCCCTGCCTGCTGCAGGCCCCTGCTCTCGGCCCTCGGCCTGGCCCTCCTTCTCCCCCTCACCCAGCCAGGCTCCCAGCTCTCAGCAGCAGGCCCTCTCCTAACTTTGGAGCCTGCAAGGCCCACTGCCTCCACTGATCCCCTGGAGTCCCCTGCTCCCCCTGCCCCGCCAGTCCCCTCCCCTGCCAGTCCCCCTCCCCCCGCCCTCTTCCCTTGCCACCTGGCCTTCCTCCCTGCTCCTCACTCCTCCTTTGTCCTGAACTGCACTTCTGGCCCCCCTCTGGCCTCCAGCCATCTGGGCAACCTGCTCACCTGTCCCTACATCTTTCCCGCCCAGTCACCTCCTCCCATCATCTCCCCTCCTTTGGGCCATCATGCAAACCATCCCAGAAGCCTGGTGCCCCTGCCAGCGGGCCCCTGGGCCTCTTGGAGCTTCGTGAGTTGGGCACCTCCTGGGCTCAGGGAGAGCCTGGTGGGCCCACCAGCGCTCCAGGAAGGCCCCATCCCTACAGCCAGTTCTCATCCATCCATCTGGGGGTCTGACCTGTGTCACCTGGTGGCTGCCCCTCCTTGGGATCAGTCCATCAGGCCACGGGGGGTAACACGCTCCTCTGTGTCCACTCTGGGGTCCCTCCAGGCTCTCCAAGCCATCACTGGAAAGGGGTGTCTGGACTTGATGGACTCAGGGCGTCTTTCCCTGCAGGGTCCTTCCTTTCCAGGTGGCCAGGCACAGACAGCCTCATTCAGGAGGAGCAACTGCGCCTGGCGGCTGGTATGTACCCCACGCTCCAAACCAGGTGCTGGCTCCTGGGGGTCCCTTTGGCAGAGCAAAGGAGGCCTGAGTAGGGGAGGCTATGGCAGCAGGAGGAGGGGTGATGCCAGGCTCTAAGGTATTGGGGCACAAAAGCCTGCAGGAAGGGGGCAGTGGGGGGCAAGCCCCTCCCTACCAGACCTTGGCTTCAGAAGTCCCTGACTTAGGTTTCTGAGGTCACACCTACAGCCACCGTACAGCACCCTGCCACCCCAGAGGTCAGCCCTTCTCACCCCCACCCACTTTGGCTGTTCAGATTGTCCCCTGGGGCCAGGTGCTTTCCTTGTCCACCTTATAAAAGCTCCCTTTGGGAGCTAACAGCTCGATTGTCTCCATGGGGCACCGGCCCTCAAACTCATGCTGTTTGGGGGCCCCCTCCCTGCCCTGCTGTTTCTCCTTTGCACCCTTAACACAAAAGGCTGACTTAGCCCCTCCTCACACCACAGAACCTGGCGGCTTCCAACCCAGCTCTGGTTCTGCAATCACAAAACCTCAGTCTGCACGAGGGCCAGGACCTCTCTGCCCCCCTCTCTGCAACAGCAATGGAATGTGCTTGAATTAAACATTTATGGTCCCCAGCCGCACTCTCAATCCCCTGGATCTGTTGGCTCTTTCTGCCCCAGGACCTCAGGGAGGTTAATTCTGGAAGCCAAATGTGAGGTGACCAACGACTGTTAACAGCGCAAATCTCCACTGAAAGCCTCCACCCTGAGCTCTTGGTGCCAGGGAAGTGCACACGGCTGGACGCAGCGGGAAAATCCAGCCTTGGCCGGTCCAAGGGTGGTGAGCAAAACCCTCAGATTCGCCCCGGTCCCCGGGCCCTACACCCCACCGTCAGGGGCCTGAGTCACTTCTTGGGCAAGAGGCAGCTTCCCCCCAGGAGGCACTAGTTTGCTACCTGGGGGTTCGGGTGGCCAACTGTCCTGGTGGCCCAGGGCTCTGAGGGTTCCTGGGACACTGGCCTTTGAGTGGATGAGCTGCCACAGCAGGTCAGTGAGGGAGCTTTGGGGACTGGCCCCTCTCACCAATCTGAGGGTTCCTCTCCCTGAGTCCATCTCCCGGGGAAGGACATTATCTGTTGGGCTTTGGCCCAGGGTCCTTTCTTCCACTGACTGTGCCTGGGACGCCCTGATCCTCTTTGGCTCCCGAGATGCACATGGGTTCCTCCTGGACACATGAGCACACACAGGGCCCTTCACTGCAGAGTCACTGGGCCTCAGAGCAAACACCTGGGGGTGGCGTGAGTATTTTCCTCTCTCCCTCAGACACGGCTGGCAGGCACCCTGGTTTCAACACCACAGTGACCACATTTCCAAGAAGAGGCTCCCGGTGCCACGGTCAGACAAAGGGGCTGTGTTACCTCAGGCTGTGTTTGCTGCCAGCATGTGGGAACGTCTGGAACATATCAGACAAGGGGCTTCAGGTTACACGAAGCAGACCAGTCTCAGGAACTAGAGTGTGTGGTCTTGGGCCCAGCGGCCACCCCCAGCCCAGCCCAGCCTCTAGTCTGGACAAGGGGCCCAGGCAGTGAAAGATGACGGGATTCCACACGTCTGTTCATTATTTTCTCCATCAGGAATTCTTTCCTTCTGAACCGACTCCTGGTGGGGTCTCAAAGGAGTAACAGACCACCTTGCCATAGAGGGGGCTTTGCCCAATTAATCTGCCCCAGGGTCCAGAATAATTGTGCTGTGTGTCGCCATCTTTCCACAGACCTTCACAGGCTCACGACCAGAACTGTACACACCCACCCTGAGAGGTACACACACCCAGAGACACAGAGATATGTAGATATGTCCACACAAACAAATATACACCCAGAGACATGCCCTAACCTAGAAACACACACACTCACACAAACTCATCCAAAGATACACATAGACAGGGGCACAAACACACACACGCACACGTGCACACACACACCCAAGGACACCCACACATGCTTATACTCCCACAGACACACACACAGACTCACTCACACCTAAAGACACAGGTACGTGTCAAATCACACAAATGTGTAAAGAGATCTAAAGTCAGAGAACTACCCATATCACACACTCACTCAGCTATGCACTCCCAGACAGGCACAGCCCTGAACCACTACAGATCCTCTGCAGCTCCATTACCTCATAGCTGGGTCATGACCTCCTCTCCCTCCCCAAGGCCACAGTCCAGGCTTCCTAAGCCTTCCTTACCGAGAGTCCTGAGCAGAAGACAAGATGGCAGGTCATTCAAGAGAGATACTTGGAGGGGACAGAGGCAGGATACAAGCAAACTTGACCTGAGCCAGTGACAGTGACAGACGACAGCATCACCTTCCTGTTATATAGCACAGTCCTCATACTCTTGGTCTCCCACAGTCCAGGGTGAAACCCCAGACCTCCCCACCACCCCAGGATGCAGTTGGAGAAGAATTTGAAAAGATTCTTGCAGTAAATCCTAAGAGCTTTCATCATAAGGAAAAAATTTTTTTCTATTTCTTTAATTTTGTATTCATATGAGATGAAGGATGTTATGATAATTTATGATATTAAATGTGTTATGATAATCATTTCATGATGTATGTCAGTCAAACCATTATGCTGTACACCTTAAATTTATACAGTGCTGTATGTCAATTATATCTCAATAAAACTGGAAGGAAAAAAAGAAAATATTCTTGCAGCCTGCATTTGGAGAGTCATTAACCTAAAAGTTTCTCGAAGAGTCCCAAACTCATAAAAACAACTAAAGAATGAATTCTATGGAGAATCCTATGAGAAATGAAAAACATACTGCTATGAAAGTGAAACATTTAGTTAATTATGGTGTATCTTGCGTGAAAGAACTATATTAGATTTTTAACTCTGTGGAATAATACATAAGCTAGAATATAACTTTAAGAAAATAAATTTGCCCTGTGTCATTCCAAAAAATATTGCGTGGCAAGAGCCTCATCTAGGAGAAAGTTAATGCTAATTTCTCAAAATCTGTAAACTATGCAGCACACATGATGTCGGAATTACCAAATAGAAGAGAGAAAGTTGGGACTTCCCTTGTGGTCCAGTGGTTAGGACTCCGTGCTTCCACTGCAGGGGGCATGGGTTCGATCGCTGGTCAGGGAATTAAGATCCCACATGCCGCGACATGGCCCACCCCCGCAAAAAAAAAAAGAATAGAGAAGATTTACCAAGGAGAGCAAGCTGTTTGAATCCTTTAAACTTTGGTTAAAGTTGTTCTCATACTAATAATTGGGGCGTGGAGTGGGGTGGTTAAATGTCACATAAAAAAGCTGGCCAGGCAAGGACTTCCCGAAATGCCACTTGAGGAAGTGAAACTGTCAGGACGGGCTGCATATGGAATCAATTTTCTTTACAAAAGACCGTCTTATGTCATTTGCTCCTAAAATGCATAAGAAGTATCAATACAATCAAATTTCTCTTTCTGCAACCAGATGACCGGAAAATGGTTGCGCCAGCCTTGCATACCCTGGTCTTCTGCCCTGTTTTTCTGTGGCCAAAAAAAAAAAACACCAAAAAACGGTTTTAACAAATACTTTTTATATGGCTTTGAGAAATATTTGGTCTTTCCCGATAGCATCTCACTTGAAAGAAAAACTAGGGAGCTTGACTGGTGCTGGGGACACTTGAATCAGGAGGAAGGTAAATGAAGATTCCAGGTCCTCTTTTGGCTGAATTCTACCAGCTCTGGAAAATGAAAAACTCTCCAGGAACCCCAAGCAGCAGGCAAAGGGCAGGGCTTGGACCAGACTCCCAGAGCCCTGGGCTTTTGCATCCAGCCACCCTCCGGAGCACTGCGACAGCCTTAAGCCTCCCTTGAGTCCCATCACCTCTTTTTCATTTTCCCCTGGGCAACTGAAGGATACCGTGTTGGATGTGAGGAAATAAGTCCCCCAAGGCCAGTCATTTGTTGGCGAGAACCTTGATGCTCATTGTGTCTCTTCCAGGTCTCAGTAAACAGCTCCCAGGTAAAGTAGGAGGGCTTGGCCTTTCTTAAGAGCTAATTAAACCGCCTCCAAGTAGCACCTGGGGAGGAAAGTCAGCTATGGCATGGCTCCCACTTCCCCATCTCGGGGTGGGAAGCATGATGCACGAGGGGTCTCTTAGAGGACAGGCCAAGCTTTCGAGATGGAGAGCCATGGGGACTGGCCCACCACGGCACCTCCCCCGCACCTTCTTCCCCAGACTTCTCATTGTCCTGCAGCCCCAGGGCTGGCCGGGCTGAGCCTATGAGAACCCAGTGCTTACCTTTGCCCCGGGGGAAAGGGGGCCCGGGCAGCTCTAGGGGACAAGGCTCCTTTTCCATGGCTCCAAGGAGCTGAGCCATGGGTTTCCTCACTTGGGTGGACATTGCA